TTGTCTATTTCACTATTCATCTCAAAGAACCAATTTGTAATGCAAATAACATGTATGGAAAATGATATGGGTGACATTACAACAGAACAAACAAATAAAAAGGATAATAACAGAATACTATGAAGAATACTCCAATAAACATGAAAATCTAGGAGAAATGGATACATTTTTAGAAAAATACTACTTACCTAAACTAACTGCTACAGTGACAGAGTTAAATAGAAAACTTAAATAGAACTTTAACAAAAGAAGACACTGATCAGGTAATTAAAAATCTCTCCAACAAAAAAAAAGTCCAGGTCCAGATGGATTTACTGGTGAATTCTACCAAACAGTCATGGAAGAGCTGATACCAATTTTACTCAAACTATTCCAGAACATCAAAAAGGATGGAAAACTCCCAAATACATTTTATGAAGTGAGTATAACCCTCATACCAAAACCAGGAAAATACATCACTAAAATAGAAAATGATAGACCAATATCTCTGATGAACATATGCAAAAAATTTTCAACATAACCCTAGCCAATATAATGCAACAACATATAAAAAAGTTAATACACCATGACAAAGTGGGAGTCAGACCAGTGATGCATTATGTTTCAATATTAGAAAAATAATCAACATAATCTACCACATAAATAAAACAAATGAAAAGAAGCACATGATCATATTGATAGATGCAGTAAGGCCTTTGACAAAATCCAACATGCATTCCTGATTAAAAAAAAAAAAAAGAACACTCAATAAAATAGGAATACAAGGGAAATTCCTCAATGTAATTAAGAGCACATATACAAATCTAACAGTGAACATTACATTCAATGGAGAGAAACTGAAAGCACTCACTCTATGAACAGGAACCAACAAGGGTGCCCTTTATTACCATTCCTATTCAATAGTGTGTTAGAAGACTTAGCCCAAGCTATAAAGCCAGGAAGAGAAATTAAAGGCATCCAAATTGGGAAAAAAGTAAAACTCTCTCTATTTGCAGATGATATGATTCTATACATAGAAAATCCCAAAGACTCAGTAGAAAAATTATTAGAATTCATTCAAAGATTCAGCAAAGTGTCAGGGTACAAGATCAATATAAAAAAATACTTTGGGTTCTTCTCAAAAACCCAGGTCTGAAAAAGAAATCAGGAAAACAATAACATTTACAATAGCCCCCTAACAGGTGAAATATTTAGGAATAAATCTGACCTGAAAAATAAAAGACCTATGCAAAGAAAACTACAAAACATTTCTACAAGAAAGCACAGAGACTTACAAAAATGGAAGACTACACCATTCTCATGGTTATAAAGACAACAATGTGAAAATGTCAATACTACCCAAAGCAAGCTCTAGACATAACACAATCACAATCCAGTTTCCAACATAACTCTTTAAAGAAATGGGCGGAAAAAACAACAACTGTTCACTAACTTAATATAGAAAGGAAAGGGACTTTGGATAAGCAATGCACTGTGAAAGAAGAAGAACAAAGTTGGAGGCCTCTCACTCCCTGATCTCCAAATTTACTACACAGTCACAGGCATCACAATAGCCTGGTACTGGTACAATAAAAGATCATAGATAAATGGAACAGAATTGAAAACCCAGAAGTAAGTCCATCCACACATAGTCAGCTGATCTTTGACAAAGGGCCAAAACACATTAAATGGGAAAGAGATAGTCTCTTCAACAAATGGTGCTGGCAAAGCTGGAAATCTATTTGCAGAAGAATGAAACAAAACTTATATCTCACTCCATATACAAAAATAAATGCAACATTGATTAAAGACCTAAATATAAAGCCTAGAACTATAAAGATCACCAATGAAAATATAGGGACAAACTTAGGAGCTCTAATACATGACATAAATATATTGTTACACATTACTAAAAACACACTAACTGAAGAAAACAAAATAGTGACTGGAGTCTTCTAAAAATTAGACCCCTAGGTGCATCAAAAGATTTCACCAAAAGAGTGAAAAGGGACCCCACAGACTGGGTAAACATTTTTTGCAATGACCTATCAGGCAAGGGACTAATCTTTAAAGTTTATAGAAAACTACAATACCTCTTCAAGAAAAAGACAAACAATTCCATTGAAAAATGGACACAGGACATGAACAGACACTTCACCAAGGAAGACGTTAAGGAGGCCAACAAATATAAGAAATGTTCATGATCATTAGCCATTGTTGTTGTTGTTAAGTGCTGTCAAGTTGGTTCCATCTCATAGCTACCCTATATAGGGTTTCTGAAGAGTAGCTGGTAGGTTTAAACCACTGACCTTGCACTTCAAACCTCCCTTAAAGCCTAGTGCTTAACTTATTGTGGTAGTAGCTATGTACTATGGAGTTGGTTCCGACTCATAGTGACCCTGTATAAGGTTTCTGAGTCTGCAAATCTTTATGGGATCAGAAAGTCTGATCTTTCTGTCATGGAACAGCTGATAGTTTCCAACTGCTGACCTTGAGGTAAGCAGCCCGACTTGTAATCACTATGCTATCACTGCTCCTTGCTTATCCTATTTGTTGTTGTTAAATTCTATTGAGCTGGATCCAACTCATAGCGAGCCTGTGTAGGGTTTCCAAGGAGCGGCTGGTAAGTTTGAACCACTGATCTTGTGGTTCAAACTGACTTTGCTGTTCAGTACATTAACCCACAAAATCAAAATGACAAGAAGTCATCTCACACCAGCACGAATGGCAAAGTTCCAAAAAACAGAAAACGTCAAATACTGGTAAGGGTTTGGAGAGACTGGGACCTTCCTATGTTGCTGGTTGGACTGATATAGAAAGTACTGCCAGAGGCCCAGGAACTACAGGTCTCCTCCCTTCCTCCATGAAACTAACATTCTGGTGAAGAAGACAGAAAATAGACAATGAAAACACACAAGAAAACAAAAAATAACTTCAGATCATAAAAAGAAAAGTTACCTAGAAAATAAAACAGTAAGGATTTAGAATAGGAATCAACAGAAAGTTTCTCTCAGGAAGTTTTTAGCTGAAATGTTAATAATTAGAAGATTTGTGTATTTGGGGAAGTAGGGGAAAAGCCTTATTACAACTGCATTATTGTTTTCTACTATTATTTCCAGAGTCCTGGTGTGGCGCTGTAGGATAAGCACTGGACTGCTAACTGCAAGGTCAGTAGTGCAAACCCACCATCTGCTCTTTAGAAACCCTATACAGGGTCGCTATGAGTAGGCCTTATCAATAACTTGGTATTTCTTTACACACTCAGCTGTTCACTGGAAGGTTAGAAGTTCAAACCCACAGCATCTCCATGGTAGAAAAGACTTGGCAATTTGCTCCCATAAAGATTACAGCCTAGGAAACACTATGGGCAGTTCTCTATCATACAGAGTTGGGATGCGTTGGAATTAACAAAACCGTACAAAACAGTAACAACAGTATTTCTATAAATTTCTATCACCGCATTCTCCAGGCCACTACACTGGATTCAAGCTCTGGTACTAGAGATGTGTTTTATTTTCCTTTGCTCCCCAGCATTTACCAGGTATTTTCTATACAGTAAGTGCTCAATATTTATCAACTAGTCGCATTTTATATGTAAAGTCTAAAATAAAAGAACAAATCAGCTGTTTTCCTATGTTGTTGCTGTTGTTAAGTGTCATCAAGTCTGACTTATAACGACCCTTTAACAATCCTGTAAGGAACAGCTAGGAGGTTTGCACTGCCAGCCTTGTGGTTTAAGTCCAGTAATAATCCTAAAGTGCCACATCAGAAATCCATTTTCCCATAGTGAATAGAAAAAGTTTGCTTTCAGATCAGACCTCTCAGTAATTCATAAGTATACATTTACTTTCTACATGACAGGCACTTGAAGAAAATTGTTAGTTGCCAAATAGACTACAAAGAGTGAAGCTGTTTTCATTCCTGTGTGATGAACCAGTTGGTCATTTCTTCTCAGTATCTTCTCATTGCACTATTGGCTGCCACACAATTTTAAAGAGAGGAGAACTATGCCTCATCACATGTTTCTTCAAGTTTGCATGCTATTTACTTTTTGACAGTTACTGATTTGTATCTCATGTCTTAAGAACAAATCCCATTTTGGAAGCTTTCTTATTTTTTGTCTTTACCATTTACTATTATGCTTATGAGCAATAATGTGAGAAAGCAAGTGTAAAATAAGAGCCTGGTGCTGGGTGAATCCATGTGCAAAGGGCAGTGTTTTGTGAGCTGATGTACTTGAGTTGTCAAATCACAATGCTTCTCAATATACAAAATCAAAGGAACAAAAAGCTTTAATCATCATGTGTGTATTTAGGAAAATTTCATATACTTGCAAATGTTCAATGAAGTTGGAGAGTATTATCAAATTAGCGATTTTCTACACATCATTATTCTTTATAGAATATTAAAAATGTATCCTTAGAACAGAGAAATTTTCAAATCAGTGAAAATTCACAAGTTTTACTTTCAAAAACAAATTGCCTGTATTCAGACACAACCAATATCTGTTTCCTCACAGTGGAATTAATCTATTAAATTGTAGCCAATAATATTATTTTACAGGAGGATTAAAAATAGCACATGTAAAATACCAGACCATATTTTGTGCAAAAAATATGCCTTTGGATCAATACAGCAGCTATAACAATGAGCTCATGTATAGCAGTGATTGTGAGGGTTGCACAGGTTTAGGCTGTGTTTTATTCTGTTTGTCATAAGGTAGCTTTGAGCTGGAAGCAACAGCACCTAACAACAAGAAGATTCATTTAAATACTTTTGCATTTAGCCAACAAAATCAGAGACAAGTTAGTAACTCATCTCCCAGAATTTCCTCAAGTCTTCCATGAGAAGTAGTGAATTATAAAATCTGAATCTATAGGATATTTAAACAGCTGCTTCAATTTGCCTGTTTACACAATGCACAAATACCTGAGAAAAAGAATATGGAAAAAAAGAAAGGAGCTGAAAAAGTTCATTTTTGATTCTTATTTCAAATGTGTCAAAATATTTGACAAATGAAAATGTTAAACTTATCATTAACACAGCCAGGTATGCCTTTGATTGAGTTTATTTGAGGTAACGTGGGCTGGGAAGAATGAAATTCTATAATTACACACTCAATTTTGTGTATGCTTAATCTTTATATTTTTATTTCCTTGTAGATTCCTTTTGCAATAAAAATGACACCAGATGCTTTTCAAATTCTTGCCCAAACAATTCTACATGCACTGGTCTTTCAAAAACAAATTGCCTGTATTCAGACACAACCAATAATTTGAATAAAGACTGTGACAACATAAAAGATCCTTGTTTCTCTAATCCCTGTCAGCAAAACGCTTCTTGTGTGAACACCAGAGAAATGGGCTCTCTGTGCAAGTGTCCTCCTGGCTACAGTGGGTTGACCTGTGAAACTGCTGTTGCTGCCTGTGGCACAAACTTCTGCCAACATGGAGGGGTTTGCCATCATGACCCTGGTCACCCAGTCTGTGTCTGCCCTGCTGGCTGTGTTGGAAGCTTCTGTGAGATTGATCAGTATGAGTGTGCATCCAGCCCTTGCCACAATGGGGCTTCATGTCAAGATGAAATCAATGGCTGTATCTGCTTCTGTGTCCCCGGATATCAAGGCAGCCACTGTGACTTGGAAGTGAATGAATGTGTTTCAGATCCCTGCGAGGATAAGGCTGTATGCCTCAATGAGATAGGAAAATACACTTGTGTCTGTCCCCAAGCTTATACTGGTGAGTGTGATTACATTTCAGTCTTGGATGATGCCGTATTCACTTTCTTTTTTAATATGCAGCAGCAGAGGTGGAAAGCTATGTGTGTCCCATCAAATTGTTTATGAAAATACCAAGTTCTTTCTTACAAAACTTTCTTACAAAACAATGAAAAATTCACTGAGTTTTTAGTGTTTGTCTATAGTTACTATTGTTTTAAAACTTGGAATCAATCTAGAATGGGTGCTGGACCTGATGACCTTGCTGTAGAGACCACTTTGAACCCTGACAACTACCTAGGTGTCATAGTAAAAAACTGTGGCTGACTTTCAGAAGTAGATCAACACACCTTGCTTTCAAAACATGTCTGGGTTGACTCAAACCTCCAAATTTCCAGTTAGCAGCTGAGCACATTTATCATTTCCACCACCCAAGGTTCAGACTAAGATAGAATAGGAAGTAGAACCCAGTGAAGTAGTTCCAGGAAAAAAAAAAAAAAAAAAAGCCAGTGAAGACCTTATGAATTGCAGCTGAATGCTATCTAATGGGGCATCAGAAAGCTTATGGAAAGATGGAATTAAAAGATAATAGAATTTTCCCATGAGCATTTTGAACCTCCCTTGCATAATACTGGAAGATGATGTTGGAAGGCACTCAAAATAGGACTGGGGAAGAGTCAAAGAACTGACTTGGAAAAGTCAAAGAATTGACTTTGATGATCTGTCTGGAGCAAAGCTCTGCAGATATTCTTTTGCTGATGTGGCATGCATTGAAATGAGAAGAACAGCTGCAAACATCCATTAGTAATCAGAACGTAAAAAGCATGTAGTATGAGTCAAGAGAATTGGAAGTTTTCAAAAATGAAATGGAAATCTTGAAGACTAGTATCCTCAGTATTAGTGAGCTAAACTGGCCTGCCAGCCATTTGAATCAGACAATTATATAGCCTGCTATGCAAGGAGACAAATTGAAGCAGTGTCATAGTCAGTGTCAAAAAGAACATTTCAAGATCTGTTCTGCAGTACAATGCTATGAGAGAGGATTATAAGGAAGGTTAGAGTTCTAGTGTGGTGCTGTAGGATAAGCACTTGGCTGCTAACCGTAAGATTGGTGGTTCAACCCCACCAGTCACTCCTTGGAAGCCCTATAATAGATTGCTGTGAGATGGAACCAACTTAATGGCACTTGACTACAACAAAAGGAAGGTCATTAATGTGACTATTAATCAAATTTACCCATCTATCCATAATGACATTAACCATTTCATGGTTAATGTTCAACCATTTCAAGAGATACCATATGAACAAGAGCCAATGATACTCAGAGAGGAAGTCCAAAGTGCATTGAAAGAAGTGGCAAAGAACAAGGCACCAGGAATTGATGGAATAAAAATTGAAATCTTTCAGGAAAGTGAGGCAGCACAGGAGGCACTCACTCATCTCTGCCAAGAAATTTGGAAGACAACTGTCTGGCCGACTGATTGGAAGAGATCAATGTTTGTGCCCATTCCAAAGAGAGGTGACCCAACGGAATGCGGAAATCATCGGACAATCTCTTTGGTATCTCAAGCGAGCAAAGTTTTGCTAAAAGTAATACAGAAACGGCTGCAATCATACATTGACAGAGAACTTCCAGAGGTTCAAGCTGGATTCAGAAGAGGCCGTGGAACGAGAGATATCATTGCTGATGTCTGATGGATCTTGGCTGAAAGCAGAGAATATCAGAAGGATGTTTACCTGTGCTTTATTGACTACGCAAAGGCTTTCGATTGTGTGGATCATGACAAGCTATGGGCAACATTGAGAAGTATGAGTATTCCAGAACACTTAATTGTACTTCTAAGAAATCTGTACCTAGACCAAGAAGCAGTTGTTCGAACAGAACATGGGAACACTGAATGTTTTAAAATTGGGAAAGGTGTGAGACAGGGTTGTATTCTTTCACCCTACTTATTCAACCTGTATGCTAAGCAAATAATATGAGAAGCTGGGTTCTATGAAGAAAAACGTGGCATCAGGATTGGAGGAAGACTCATTAACAACCTGCAATATGCAGATGATACAACCTTGGTCGCTGAAAGTGAAGAGGACTTGAAACATTTACTTATGAAGATTAAAGAGCACAGCCTTCGATATGGATTACATCTCAATGTCAAGAAAACAAAAATCCTCACCACTGGACCAATAAACAACATCTTATCAATGGAGAAAAGATTGAAGTTGTCAAGGACTTCATTCTTCTTGGATCAACTATCAACACTCGATGAAGCAGCAGTCAAGAGATCAGACGACATATTGCACTGGGCAAATCTGCTGCACAGGAACTTTTTAAAGTGTTGAAGAGCAGAGATGTCAGCTTGAGGACTAAGGTGCGCCTGACCCAGGCCATTGTGTTTTCAATAGCCTCATATGGATGCGAAAGCTGGACAGTGAATAAGGAGGATCGTAGAAGAATTGATGCCTTTGAGTTGTGGTGTTGGAGGAGAATACTGAAAGTGCCATGGACTGCCAAAAGAACCAATAGATCTGTTTTGGAAGAAGTGCAGCCAGAGTGCTCCTTGGAGGCCAGGATGGCTAAGCTTCGTCTCTCATACTTTGGACATATTGTCCGGAGGAAACAATTGCTGGAGAAGGATGTCATGTTGGGTAGGGTGGAGGGTCAGAGAAAAAGAGGAAGACCCCCAACAAGATGGATCAGCCAGGTGGCATCATTGATGGACTCAAGTGTGGCATCGGTCAGGATCGAACATTGTTTCATTCTGCTGTGCATGGGGTCGCTATGAGTCGGTTCTGACTCGATGGCACCTGACAACAACAACAACATCCATAATGACAAAGATAAAAATAACTTAAGTTTGTTTATGAACTTCTGCAGCATGAAATTGATTAAACATGCAATCAAGACTCATGGATAATTACTGGTGATTGCAAGGCAGACGTTGGATATAAAGAAGGAGCTGTAATTGAAAAATATGGTCTTGGCAATGGAAACTATTCCAGGTATTGCATGAGAGAATTTTGCAAGATAAACAACCTATTCATTGCAAATACCCTTTTTCAACAATACAAAAGACATCTGTACGTGTATACTTGGCTGGCTGGAATACAAATAAATCCCACTGTCTATATCTAAGGTGACAAACTCAATATCATCTCATATTGCTCATATTTCAGACAGATTATCAGGAGGGATCAGTCTTGGAGAAGGATATCATGTTTTAAAAATTGGAGGGTCAGAGAAAAAGAGGAAGACCCTAATGAGATGGACTGGCACAATAACAGCAGGAATGGGTTCAAACAGTAGCGATTGTCGGGTTGGCACAGGACTGGGCAGTGTTTCATTCTGTTTTGCATAGGGTCACTATGAATCGGCACCAACTTGATGGCACCTAACAACAATAACAGCAAGTAGGTTGCATAAGTTATGGAAACTTCTTATTGTTGTTGTTGTTGTTTTAAGTACTATCCAGTCAGTTCTGATTCATTGTGACCCTATATTGGACTTCTGAGGAGTGGCTGATGAGCTTGTAGTTCAGTAACCTTGCAGTCCAGTGCATTAACCGACCTTGCAGTCCAGTGCATTAACCTGTAGCACCACACCAGGACACATTGCAGAACTTGGTACCCGTATGTTTTTCTCTCTTCCAACTAGAGTGATAGTTCATAGGAGATAGAAGTTATATATTTATTCTTTTCTAGTATGTTTTGAGTGTCTACTACGCATCAGTCATTTTGCTAGGAAGAAGAGACACTTCTTTGTGCTTAGCATGGTGTTTATGAGTAATGACTATGTAATAAACCACTCCTGAACTGTCCTAATTCTTTCATGTATCTATTGGCACACTTCTCGATAATGAAACTAAGGTAAATCGACATTAAACTTGTGCTTAGTTTCTCTACTACTTTATGATTCATGGCAGAATGCTTGTGTCAAGGGCTAAACTATTTTTCAAGTGACTTTTAATTAATAATGCTATGCTAAAAATTTTGGGAATATTTTAAAACTTTACAAAACAGTGGTTACAATGTGAAAAGCTTCTCTTAAAAACACACACACACACACACACAAACTTTTTATTGTGAATAGAGTGAAGGTCTAGAGAGAAGATTATCAGTTTTACATTCAACAAATCATACACATTGTTTCATCTCAATGACTGCAATCCTTTCCATGTAACACTTCCTCCCTGTGGTTCCTATTTCCATTCCACCCACCTTCAAATCCCTTCTCAACTTTGTCCTTAGGTAGATGTTGTCCTTTTGATTTTGAATGATTGATTCTATGGTGAGCACACCTTATTAGTGCTGTTGTCCCTCCTATATACCTAACTAATACTTGGTTGAAAATTCGACCACAAGAGTGAGTTCTTCCAAACCTGAAGGGTGCTTGCCTCCAGTCACTTTCTGACCAGTAACTCCAGTCTTTCTTAAATATAATTTTGAATTCCTTTCCATATCTTCTCCCACTCTCGGGGACTTTCTAATGTGATCCCTTTCAGAGCAGTTGGTATTGGTGGCTAGGCACTATCTAGATTGCCTGGTCTCAGAGTTGTGGAGAATGATGTTCACATGTTCCATTAGTCCAATGGACTAACTGATTCCAAGCATCTTCAATTCTCATCACTCTTCTATTTTCTACTCATAGAGAAACCAATAATTGCACCTTAGAGGGCCACTTGAGCTTTTAAGATCCCAGATGCTACTCACCAAAGTAGGATATAGAACCTTGTCTTTGTGGACAACGTTATACCAATGGATTGTGGTGTCCCCTGACCTATGGTCCTGAGTCCTCAGACCCATTGCTTTAAGATGTTTGATAATATCTAAGATGGTTTCATCACTTTGGCCACTGTATGCTCCATCACATTCATAGGTGTGTTTGAAGCAAAGATAAATTGTTGCTGTTATTGTTGTTGTTATTGTTTTTGTTGTTATTAGATGCCATCGACTCGGTACCAACTGATAGTGACCTTATGCATAGCAGAATGAAACACTGCCTGATCCTGGGCCAGCCTCACTACT